AGCAAGTTACTTGGAGATTTTTTTGCAAATCAGCTATTCTTGTAATAAGATCTCACTATTTAGTTGTGAATTCACTACAATTCTGTGTTTAGTGATACACCCTGTACTGTTACATTTCACAGGCAGTCTAGAACAGTGTTCTCCAACCCAGTCCTCATGGACCACCAACAGTCCTGGTTTTATCAGTATCTCCATTGGAATAAAACAGGGAAATACATAAATCCTGGACTGTTGATGGTCCACGAGGACTGGGTTGGAGAAAACTGGTTTAGAACACTGGAAGCCCAAACAGGGATTTGCCCCAAGCTTTCAAGAAGTCAAACAGCAAGCTTTATTGCCTTTTTAAGACACATCATTATGTTCCTTTGAACAATGGACTAATGGAACCATTAAAATTCCATCCAAATTACACCCCTTGCAAGATTACATCTGTGATATCTGAGAAAACCAGTTACCCTCCTGTTTATTACTACTCTTAATCCTACAACAGTTAGGATTTTAAGCACACTAGAGAAATGAATATAAAACAGATTAGGTGAAATCTATTTATCACCATTTATAAATATTTGTCCAGTGAACCTGAATAGAAGCATTTAAAGTGGTTAAAATTAATTTGACAGCACTGCTGATTGACTTGTTTATCATTTAGCAGCATTGGGGTTACCACGACTCCGATTAAGGGAAAGCAGAGGGAATTATTTCTCTCTCTGTGGCTGGGAAAGAGAATGAGACACATGGGGGATAAGACAAATGGGGGGATGTGACACATGAAGGAGCTGGGTGGGCGATAATGAGACACATGTAGGGGCTGGGGGATGAGACGCATGGAAGAGTAGGGGTGTGAGTATGAGACACATGGGGGGGGGGAAGAGACACATGGAGGGTCTAGATGGGAGAAACATTTAAATATATAAATATATAAAGGGAATCAACACAGTAAAGGAGGAGACTATATTTAAAAGAAGAAAAACTACCACAACAAGAGGACATAGTCTTAAATTAGAGGGACAAAGGTTTAAAAATAATATCAGGAAGTATTACTTTACTGAGAGGGTAGTGGATGCATGCAATAGCCTTCCAGCTGAAGTGGTAGAGGTTAACACAGTAAAGGAGTTTAAGCATGCGTGGGATAGGCATAAGGCTATCCTAACTATAAGATAAGGCCAGGGACTAATGAACGTATCTAGAAAATTGGGCAGACTAGATGGGCCAAATTTGCCGTCACATTCTATGTTTCTATGTTTCTATAAGAATGAGACACATGGAGGAGTTCGGGCTTGGATGAGACACATGGAGGAGCTGGGAATGAGAATGAGACACATGGGGAATAAGTCACATGGGGTGATAAGACACATGGGGGATATGACACATGGAGGAGCTGGGAGTGTGGATTAGACACATGAGGTTCTGGGGGGAGAATGAGACATGTGGGGGAACTGGAAGGTATGAAACACAGTCATGGAGGGTCTGGGGAGAAAATGAGACATGTGGAGGAGCTGGAGCGAGAATGAGACACATGGAAGAGCTGAGGGGGAGAATGAGAAACATGAAAGAGTAGGAGTGTGAGGATGAGATACATGGAGGGGCTGGGGGGAATGAGACACATGGAGGAGCTAAGGAGGGAATTACACATGGAGCTGCTGAAGGGATTGAGACACATGGAGAGGGATTTGTAGCTTGCAATGAAATGGTGCCAAAATTAGAAGCAGGTCTTTTTAAAACTCCACCCAGGGCCCCTGCCACTGTCCGCCCCCTTTTAGAAGCACCCCTAATTTAAAGCATGACATATGTGAACCAGAAAAACCCTAACAAAATAGCATAGGAAAAAAAATATGACAGAATAAGGAGTATTTTACTGGAAATAGGAAAAGCGCCAAAACACAGCCAAAAAGTGTACACAATTAGCATTGTATCTGTTTTTACTCCCCCCTATAATGATTGACAGGTATAAAGGGCAGAGCATATAACAATGATTGACAGGAAGGTGGACACATTTAGTTATTGGATAGAGGTACATATAGGAGAGTCGCTATTTTCAAGGCCAAATAGGGGATACGTTAAACTACTATTACAAATATTGGGAAGTGACTGCACCTGTTTAAATTCCATTCAGCTTTTTCTATTCAAACACCTGTTTAGTAAATATAGTCCTTTGTTAGCTACCTGTTTGTAAACAGGGAGATTACCTCCCTGCTTGCTGTACATAGCATGCTGCTCATTGGGGACACGGCAGATTGTGTACAGCGTGAAGAAACTGATTTAATGACAGTGAGAAGTGGCGTAGGTATATAAGAGTATATTAAATCGAGTCTAATTGGAGATTTATATTTAACTCACCTATTTTAGCCTAAATGTCAATCATCTGTGGACGACTTGCCACACTCATTGTTTAGTGAGTCTACCCTTGGGTTTTCTGGTTAGATTATGATATATCAGACCGTAGAATCAAAACACTGAGTAATAAAATACACTGTAATAAATGTAAATCCCTTCTATGTCTTTGGATTTGCATGGTCACCGCCCCTGTATAAAGGTTACTGGAATAAAATAACCATCGGCATTTAACCTACTGACTACCAGAACAACAGGTAAGGTGAAAGGAAACTATGTTAATACACAGAAGCAGAACTGAATTGATATAATTATTATTATTAGCATATATGGCACCCACATATTTTGCCGCGCTTTATAATTATAGAAAGGGGATATTTAGAGGTGAAGAAGTCCTTGCTCAAAAGAGCTTACAATCTATAGGGATTTGAGGTAGGCAGATATATATCATTAGGGACTCTTACTTAAATATCTTTACGTCTTGTAAAATATAAAAGGGAATTTGTAATACATTGCAGACAGAGGTACCAACATACTGGGAACACATATTATAGACACGTGAGAGATCTGAAATTGTTACAGTGAAATCAGACTCTGTGGTTATGATATAATTTCATACGTTCTGTGGGGCTTGTTCACTAAACAGTTGTGATGACTCAAAAACATATTTTTAAAATTGAGAATAAAGGCCTCCCACACATGCAGACAAACAGATACACATGCAGAAACACACATAGACACACACAGACACACACATGCAGGCGCACATACATGTAGACACATAAATACACACACAGTCACAGACACACATACATACAAACACACATACACAGACACACAAACACACACATACATACAGACACACATACGTACACACACACATGTAGACACACACACACATACATACATGCAAACAAACACACACAGGCACATACATACATACATACAGACATATAAAAACACACACATACATACACAGAGACATACAAACACACACACATACACAGACATATACATACAGACACACACACACATTCACACAGAGACACAGACACACACATACAGACACACAGAGACACAAACACACAGAGACACATACCTACAGGCACACACAGATACAGGCACACACACAGACAGAGACACATAAAGACACACACACATACACACAGACAGAGACACATACATACAGACACACACATACACACACACACACACAAACACACACATTACTTTCTCTGGGGTCCAGTGGCTCAGGCTGATGGGAGTCAGAGTTCGCACTCTGACTCCCTCCTCTCTCCCTCCCGCGCAGGCTCTGTGATTGAAGGGGCAGTCACTTCCTCCCTGGGCTCTGATGTCATAAAAGGGGCAATTTATTGGGTGGCCCTAACTGCATGGGCCACCTGATGAACCCCTTAACATGCAACCCCGTTGTTTATACCGCGCGGGCCGTGCTGCAACACATGGCCGGCGGGCACCCGCTTGCAGGGGTCCACAGGGCGGCCGGGCTTCCTGCGACCCCTGCGACTGCAGTAGTTGTGCCACTGTATATAGCTGTGGGTTTATTTACTAAACTCCAAACTGTAGGGAAGTAAAATCCGATTTGCAGATTATATTAAAATGACAGATTTGCAAAAATCCTCCCACTCAGACCCAGTCTTAGCTTGATTATTTTAACCTGAATCTTCCCATTCAAATGCCAATTGTCTGCAAATAAACCTGCACAAATATTTCATATGAGAGACACATTTTAGGGATTATTTTACTTTATAGATTATTGTATCCTATTGTAACAATGCAATGTTTTGTGGATCCAGGACATACGTGAAAACGAGAGAAATCTCAATGTATCCATCCTGGTAAATATATTTTTACAAGTAATTAATTCAATCTAAAACTTTTTTTAAAATGTATACAAAACAGTTTTGTCTTTTCTAAGACATTTCATCGTTTAAAACCTATATGTAACAAACACTTGATACATTGCCATTTCATCACAATTTTTATCGCCTCCCAATTAAGGATTAATACCTGCTAAAAAGATCTGCTTTATAACAGAAAGATCTAATGTTTAATTTTACCATTTTAGCATTTCATTATAGAAACGACTTCTAAGCAGATACTATTCTGTGTCCTATAGTAATTCTGTAAACGTGCCACGTGCACTAACTGCCCCAATCAAAGCTATCTTCCCATCCTTAAAGAAGCACATTCTGTTACCTCTCTCGTTATAGATAGACCATCAGCTTGTGCCAGATGCTGAACGTTGAACGATGAAGGAATTGAGGAGAAAGCTTCTCTCTTCAGTTTTTTCCCTGTGTTTGTATGTTTATGAATCTTCTCCGCCTTGTTCTGCCTTTACTTACCTGCTGGTGCTGCTTCCACACCTTAGTCAAACACTAGCCAATAGATCAGCTTTATTTATGTTTCTATTAGAAATGATAAGTTATCCTGTGTGTGTTTGTGGGATGTGAATATCCCACGGCTCAGAGAGCAGTGCCTCTACCTTAGCCCTGCAGGTGTAAGGCTCTTCCTGTGTCTAGTTTCTATTGTTAAGCAAATTAAGGTTATTTACAACTCAGGTCTCTTATTAGTTGTAGGACGACGTAAACAAGGAAGTGGCCAGTCAGACACTGCTAGAGTTTCACCTTTATGTTCTGCAATAAACGTGGGATGTCTTACCGCATGCTTTGTTTATAGAAAGTCAGTTCAGGTGAGAAAATATGACTAATGTGAATGGTGTTGTCTGTCATATCATTTTAACCACTGAGTGTTTTTATGCATCATGTTTAATTTCACTTGTTGCACTTATGTAATTGCATTGCTATATAGAACTCTTTCTGTGATGTAATGGCACCCCTTGTGTGGAACGTAAAGAGCTACTAGAATCCTTTTTGATAAATTTTGTGTAAAAATGTAGGTTTCCATATTTAGCAGTAGTTATTGGGCAGTGGCCGAACTACCGTGATCGCAGCGGTCGCAGCTGCGACCGGACCTGTCACTCCAGGGGGCCTGGCCACCCTGCTTACCCCAGCGACTGCGGCACCCGCCGGCTAAGTAAGCTGGCCCGCGCAGTATAACCACCGGGGCCGCATTGAAGGGGCCTATTGGGTTGCTGTTAGGGCCACCCGATGGCAATGTATTTCCAGGTGGCCCGGTCAGTGCTGCGGCACTCTATCAGCGCGACTGGGCCCCCTGAGCAGGGAGGAAGTGGGAACATCAGCCTGAGCCCACCACTGGACCACAGGGAAGTCACCCCCATGCATCTAAAAGGTAGGAAAAAGGAGGGTGACTATATATGTGTCTATATATTTTTTTATATGTGTCTATATATGTGTGTGTTTGAATGTATGTGTGTGTGTTTGTGTAGGTGTGTCTGTATAAATGTGTGTCTGTATGAATGTTTCGCTGTATGTGTGTCTGTACCTATGTGTGTGTATGTCTGTGTGTGTGTGTGTGTGTTTGTATGTCTGTCTGTGTGTGTCTGTGTGTGTGTGAGTCTGTAAGTATGTGTCTGTATGTGTGGGAGGGGACATATGGGAGGGGGAGGATAGAAGTATGGGGGTGTGGCAGGGTGGGAACGTATGGGAGGTGGAGTATAGACATATGGGGGAGTGGTGGAGGGGTAGACGTATGGGGGGGGAGGGGCAGGGCAATTTTTAGCACCGTGGCCCCGTGGTTTCTAGTTATGCCTCTGTTATTGGGTTCCCCCTTTAAAGCCTATAAAATAAAGTAGGACCAGCTACAGGAAGAAATAGCTGCAAAAATACATCAACCATGAGATGTTGGAGTACATCAAGTGTGGGAGTAATTCAGAAATTCATTAAAAGGTGGGATTTTAATAAACAAAAAACCCCATTAAACATTAAACATTAAACACTATGTATTAATGTTACTGGGAAGATTCACTATGTTTCACATCTACATAAGGCCTTGCCTTCTCCCTCCTAACCAGCTCTACCAATTGTAACAGAAAATGACTTCCGAAAGCAATGTTCTCTAATCTGATAATTAATACATATGGCACAGGATGCAAAACTGTTTGAGATTAAAACGTGAAAAAAACACAAACAAGTTATGTCGAAAACAACTAGGAATCCAACTCTGGTGAGCCATTCATTTACAAACGTATTTTGACAAAATAATGACTAATAGAAAGGAAATTGCACAAAGTACGGGCTTTTCTGGAGATAATCCTGCATCCTTCTTCAACCTCAAAAATTTGCATCTGCATGTTAAATGCACATTTAAAAAATCATAATATCATGAAAGCTATCTAACTCCAAGATATGTAAAGTTATTTCTCAGAATCACTGGGGTCATACAAACGTATAGCGAAGAAAGGGAAAGGAAAAATTAATAGTCCAACAAGACAATTGTCACCATCCCTGATGTCTCCCCTCAAACACCCAACAACTTCTCCATTAACCCAGAATGCCAGTCATCCAGTCTCGGCAGTACCCTGGTGGGATTTTAAGATGGCCGCATCGACTATACATTGGATCGGAACCTTTTTAACCGGGTGCCAATTGGATGCCATGTAAATCATGAGTGGGTGAGCTGTTCAGAGATATGCTGAATGTGGGGGTTCTGGGAATCCATCACACGATCTGGAGACAAGTCAATGGGGGATTGCCTCTTATTAGACCAGAAAGAGTGGCGCCGGGGAGACAAATGTCTTTGTTTTGCTGAATGCCCTATATTATTAAAATGATAAATACTGGGTGTTTGTATTAATAATGTGTATTTTGTTTTCATCCTTCATCAAGCCTTGGCTGATATCTAAGGAAACTACTGTGTGTTATGATCACTCTGGACGAGCTATATAAAGGAGGGAGACTAGTGGAGATACTTTGAGTACGAGAGCTCCGTTACAAGCATTTATCATCCTAATCTTTAACGTCTCATCAGGAATAAAAAAAACTACTACGACAATTTATATTTAGGAAAAAAACACCAATACCTGAAAACTCCAAGATGCTAATTTTCATTAGAATGATTACAATGGCACAAAGTCTGATTTGTGATATTTCTCAAGAGACAGTAATATATTTATCAATACATAGAGCTTGAAACAGAAACATAGTTAGCAGTCTACAATAAAAGTGGAAGATGATTCCTTTAGATAATGGGACTAAACAGAAGTGGAAAAAAGAAACAGGTAATAAAAAGAGTTGCGTAAGGTAGAAGAAGCATGGCAACAGATAAAATGTGTTTGTGAATCAGCAGGATTCCAGTTTGTAGAATGCAGGGGATTTATTGCTCTGTGTCTATTCAAATCTTCACATTGGGAATAATCCAATGTAAATGTTTATCTTTGAATGTTTATAGGATGGATAGAGGAGCTTCCTGATACCAAGATTTAGCTGGTCAGAAAAAACCTGAAAACGGATATCAGTGGACATAGTGAGGGATAAAACAAGGTACAGTATTTCAGTATCAATTTTTACTTTTACTGCTCAGTTTACAAGGCAAATCCAAGTATATGGTCACAGATGTTCTGAACATCTGCTGGGTTTTAGATGAACCTCAAGAGTGGACCGTTGCCAGGAGGTGTGTGGCTGAGAATGATAGGAGGTGTATTACAAGTGGAATGGAACCCAAGAGCTCTGAATATTTTTAACCACTTGCTGAAACACCCTCGGTTGATCTACTTTTAAAAAAAATAAATACTTTTATGAGATAAGTTTAATCTCATGGACACGGACACAAGCCAACACACAACACAATGCCAAATTTTAAATTGATCATGAACACTTAAAGGGACATTCTGATTACCATAAACCATGATTTTAGTGGTCATGGAACAAAGAGGTCATGGTACCTTCAACCAAATCTATGTAAGACTTTTTGGGAGCTATTTGGTGTAAACTGGGGCTATGTCCAGCCTGTGTCCTCTCACCCATCAAACCATCTCCAACGTGTATGGCAGTGATAAGCTGAGGGAACTAGGGACTGATGCTACTTAATTTTTGTAAGGTTATCTAGCTTCAAAAAAACAGGGATTTTCAAAAAAGGAATTACAATTGGATGCTATAAATCTTTCAAGACATTTAGAGGATTAATTAATTAATTTCTACCTGTTGAGCAAGGATTACTTTACTTTCTTGAGAATGTCTAACTTTCTCCAAACAGAGATCTTATATCTTATGCCATCTTTCCCAGATAGAAGCACTTCAGAAAAATGTTTTAGGAAATTCAAAAAATCTAAAGAAGCCTTGTGATTTCTAAATCATAAATTAAAAACTAAGAAATGTTTTGACAATATCTGACCTCTTGCTGTCTCGAGATATGTTCACTTTATCATTAAAGCACTTTAGCCATCTAGGAATGTAGCAAGGAATATAATATGTACCTGGTGATCGCTTCCTCAAATTGTGGAGGTTTAGAACAATAAAGTTAAAATATCATAACCATTATAGAACCCCATGTCCACAAACCCCAAGTGAGTCCTTTTAGAAATGCTTCATAATGGAGTCCAAACGGAGGTTAATTTATTTGTCATGTTTTATAGGGAGTAAAATAGCAATTTTAATAAATGCTTAAAATGACCCAAACAAACATGAGTGGCAGAGATTATAAAAAAAATGAAAATGTAGATAGTTAAAATGTTTAATTTCTTAACATATTGTCTAGGAAACAAAATGCATCTTTGGGATAAAAATAATTTTGCTATATTAACATCTAAACAGGAAAGCAACTATTATAATAGAACAATATATAAATTATATGAACAAAAGGCATATCAAATGATAGGAAAAAGAGACAAAATGGTGTGAGAAAATCACTCAGACTCTAGTTGACTGGTCCAATGGGATCACAGATATCACCTGAATCCTGAAATATCTAAAAGCCACGATAGACACTCACAATTTGGGCAGCCTGAAACATTCTCTTTTCTATGTAACTATTCACTGTGTTTACAATTTACACCAAATCATGGCACTCTAGACAACATAACTACTACAGCAAGCACAAATGAGTCATTATCTCTCTCACCTTATCCTGTTTTGTATATTGCAATTTAGAGTGGTTGCTCTGTTATATGTTTTACAATATGTCTCACGTTGCTCTTTTTATTTCCTAAAATATTGTTTTAAATAAATGAAATACGTAAAAATAAAAAAATATCACAGGAAATGTTAAACAGTGCTCACAGTATTAAAATCTGTTTTTTTTTTTGGTTTTTTTTAATTTCTGGAAATTCAGGACTCTTAACAAATGTCCATCCTTTCTAACGGCAAAACAAGAAAAACCAGATCCAGTTCTGACTGGCCAAGCCATGTCCTCTCTACATAAAGCTGAAATTTCCACTGTACATTTACGGTAACACGAACAGGATGTCTGATAGAAACTACCGGGAAAACCAGTTTTTCTTGAGATCGTATAACTGTGACCTTACTTCATTACTTCCTCAGGAAAAGGAAAATAATTATTTTGTATTCATTAATTACCACAATTTAAGGGACAGAGACAGAATATATTAATAAAAGGAAATGAGAACCTTGCCTAACCCAGATGACCCTGAATTATACAATATCTGGCAATTACCCTAAATTGTATTAATCTAGCCTGTTTTTTAATAGAGTACTCTAAACAACATTGTTAAATATAATCGAAGGTAAACAACTGTTGGTCACTCAGATAACTGATTAAATGTGAGAGATTTTTTAATGATTACTGATGGAACCTCAGAAAAAGCACATGGTAAGTCAGCTGGCAATCTGTCAATATGCAGAGAGTAACTTTGATAAATCAGGGGAATGTTTAGAAATAAAAACTAATAAAACAAGTCAATGGGACAAGTCAGGTAATATCGAAATAGGGGAAAGTCAGCCATAAGTCACTGAAGCATTTTAATACCCATGACTTTTGATAAGACCTTAAAGAAGCAGTTTAGCCTCCAGAACTAACAGAAGCCAATGTAGTGGTTATAATGGCATAAGATCATTGATGAGATCCCAAGTTTCTTGGTCAAACTGTTTTTGAGCTGTCTTTCCAAAACAGGGGGTCCATGAAACAACATACTCGCAATCTGATCCCTATGAGCCAGAATTGCAAGTGTGAACGTTCTAACTTCAGTTGACCTCTGTCTCATCAAATTTCCAGACCAAAGGAAAAACTTATATGCAAATATCACCATATATTTAATAAAATATATTAGACTGTAAAATAAGTGGTCAAAAAATGCTGACAGAAGGAATTCTACATAACTTTAAAAGCCATATTGTTATTATTAATATAATAATTATTATTATTTTATTATTTATATAGCGCCAGCAAAATTCTGTAGCGCTGTACAATGGGTTATAATCTTACAGTAAATGCACCTACTTACAGCAGCTATATAAAGACCCCTGGTATATTGATTATTATTACTTTTATATACTATATACTATATATGCAGTGCTCTACAATATTATAAGAGGGGTAATTTTAACAATAAATGAGACAATTACAAAATGTTAAGGGAACAATAGGTTAATGAGCTCTCTGCTCAAATGTGTTTAGTATTGATAACCTATAAAAAAAAAAGTGACATAAATCTTAAACATAATAAAACAAAAATTAATTGTTTGTCATAAATATAAATACATAATTTTAAAAGTTAGTAGACAAATAATTAGAGGGAAATAATATGTCACTGTGAAAGAAATCTGTTTGTTCAGAAAACACTTGCAACATTTACTCATCACCTAACTCTTATCCGAATTGCCGAGATTAATTGATTCTAATGTTTATGTGTTCTATTTCAGAAGTATGTTTATTACTGTGTAATTAATACCTCATTACTGTGCTATTGTTATGTAAAGTGCCCTGAATAATAGGCACTATGTATGAAATGTGGAAATAGACAATAATACATAAATCCGTTTTACAAGAATGTGTTGTTACACTGTCTTTATTATTTAGCATTATTAAGTATTGCTGTTTAGCTGTCAGATAACTACCCACACACACTGATAATAGGGACTAGTTTATAGCTCGGTGACATGTGAGTGATCCATTATTACACCATCCTGTTACAGATTAACACCACTGTATGACTTGCCTTCTTTTACAATACAGGGCGGATCATTTTATAAAAAGAACATGGTCAAGATTAGCCACTTATCTACAAAGTGAAATACTTAAAACGGCCATTTTTTTTTTTTTTTAAATGCAAACAATTTTCTTTATATTATGTTGGTCTTTTATACACAGAAAGCCGTGCTTGATTAACTTTTACTTTTGTTAACTGAATGTGCAATTCCTATAGTCAGGTCCAGCCAGGAAGGACATATTGAATAGCAGATATAAATTTCCATGGCAAGTCGCAGTAAGAGGAACGTAAAGTGATTTCAAACAAAGAGCCATTGAATTGGTGATAGTTTGACCGTTTTTTTAAAATGCTTTCTTTAATCACTGCATGCTTATATTGTGATAGTGTTTCCTGCATTTGGAAACAGCCATTTTTTATTACATACCTACAGGCCTATTGCAGGATTCATTTTTAGGGTAGGGCACATGGTGGGCCAGGGACAAAAGTAGGGGGGCACATTTAACCCTGCCCTGCCACATGTTAAGCCCCACCCCCAACACAATGTGTTGTTTTTTTTTTAATAATCCCTGGTGGAGGATTCATTATTATCCACCAGGGATTATTAAAAAACAAACACATTATCCTTGATACAGTGCCATAGCTGCCAACATTTGAAAAAAAATTCCAAGGACATTTTGCAGCAAAGCTATCAATTACTGTCTGGGTATAATATCCCTGGACAGTCAGTGCTCTCTGTATAATACAGTGTTGTGTGTATAATAGATTGGGACAGTCAGCGCTCCCTGTACAGTGCTGCTCTCTGTATAATACATGGCTGTGTGTATAATATCCCAGGACAGTCAGTGCGCCCTGTATAGTGCTGCTCTCTGTATAATACAGGTCTGTTTGTGTATAATATCCCAAGACAGAGAGCAGCACTATACAGGGAACACTGACTGTTCCAGGATATTATACAGACACAGACCTGTATTATACAAAGAGTAGTACTACACAGGAAGCACTGACTATCTCGGGATATTATACACACAGATCTGTATTATACAGAGAACAGCACTATAGTGTTATACAGATAGCTGAGCATATACCACATGTCCCTATCTCTAGATTACTAGTACCTGTCAACAGCAGCTCCCAGACGCATGTAACAGGGCTTAAGTGTGCGGAAGCTCACACAGGTGATTCAGCGGTAAAGTGCACTCGCTGGCAGAGCCAAACTGGGAATCCAAAGCAGCCCTGGAAAAAAATGTATGCCATTCCTACAAGTAAATATATATATATATATATATATATATATATATATTGTACAGTGAGCACACAAGCTCACTGACATGAGCAAATAGGCTCACTGACAGACAAAAAACTCTGACTCACACACAAGCTTACTACAGACAAACTCACTAGTATAAATACAAGGTTCACTACAAAGAAGTTCAGGGACACACACAAGCTCACTAAAGACACAGATCAAGATCTTGGCCCCCCAGGGCCAGCCCCGAGTCCACCCACAAGGATGAAGTGTGTGTGTGTGTATAGTGGATGTAGAATGTGTGTCATGGATGCGTATAGGATGTGTATAGTGGATGTAGAATGTGTGTAGTGGATGCGGTATGTGTGTCATGGATGCAGTGTGTATAGTGGATACAGTATGTTTGTCATGGATGCAGTGTGTATAGTGGATGCAGATTGTACATTTGTGTAATGTATGTAATGTGTGTATGCATGCATTAGATGCAGAGTGTGTGTGTAGTGAATGTAGATGTGTATAGTGAATGCAGAGTGTGTGTTTTTGTAGTGGGTGTAGTGTATGTAGTGAATGTAGTGTGTATAGAGCATATAGTGTGTTTGTAGTGAATGTAGTGTGTGTGTAGTGAGTGCAAAGTGTGTTTAGTAAATGTAGTGTGTTTGTAGTGAGTGCAACGTGTGTATAGTGAATGCAGTGTGTGTGTGTGTGTAGTGAGAAGTGTGTATAGTGAATGTAGTGTGTGTGTGTGTAGTGCAGAGTGTGTTTAGTAAATGTAGTGAGTGCAAAGTGTGTATAGTGAATGTAGTATGTGTGTGTGTAGTGCAAAGTGTGTTTAGTGAATGTAGTGTGTGTGTGTAGTGCAGAGTGTTTAGTGAATGTAGTGTTTGTAGTGAGTGCAGAGAGTGTATTGTGAATGTAGTGTGAGTATGTTTAGTGCAGAGTGTGTTTAGTGAATGTAGTGTGTGTGTAGTACAAAGTGTGTATAGTGAATGTAGTGTGGGTGTGTGTAGAGCAAAGTGTGTTTAGTAAATGTAGTGTGTGTGTGTAGTGCAGAGTGTGTTTAGTGAATGTAGTGTTTGTAGTGAGTGCAGAGTGTGTTTATTGAATGTAGTGTGAGTATGTGTAGTGCATGTAGTGTGTGTGTGTAGTGCAAAGTGTGTTTAGTGAATGTAGTGTGTGTGTGTAGTGCAGCTTGTGTTTAGTGAATGTAGTGTGTGTGTAGTGCAGAGTGTGTTTAGTGAATGTAGTGTGTGTGTGTAGTGAAGAGTGTGTGCTTGTAAGGATGCAGTGTATGTGTAAAATAGGGGGGAGGGTAGTATTTTTTATTTTATTTATTTGTGTATATTTAAATTGTAAGCCCCCCTCCCTGGTTTTTACCGTGCCAGGGATGGGGGAGATTGCATTCCCTGGTGGTCCGGTGGCATGGTGGAGGGAGCCAGTCGCGTTACACTGTCACACACTGTCTTCCTTTCCAGCTCCTCTCTGACTAACTCTTGCGAGGCAGGCCTGCATGCTGTGCGGAGCATTTCCATGGTAACCCATGGCAATGCTCTGGCGGCCGCAGGGAAGTTAGACAGAGAGCAGCTGGAAAGGAGGGATAGATAGATAAATAGATAGATAGATGCACATAAGGAATGTGGGGCAGTTGGTTGTCATGCCCTGATGGCGGTCCTGCTGCTGAGTCCATACACACACACACATAGACTGCTGAGTCCATACACACACACACACAGACTGCTGAGTCCACACACACACACACACACACACACAGACTGCTGAGTCCACACACACACACATAGACTGCTGAGTCCACACACACAGATTGCTGAGTCCACCCACACACACACACACACACACACAGACTGCTGAGTCCATACACACACACACACCTATACACACAAATTCTGAGTCCACACACACACACACACACACACACTACCTACACACAGAGACTGCTGAGTCCATACACACACACACACACACACAGAAGCTATACCATAGACACAGAATTCTGAGTCCATACACATAGACTGCTGAGTCCATACACACACCTTTGCCTTTTGCACACACACACACACAGACTGCTGGGTCACACACACACACACACACACAGAATTCTGAGTCCATACACACACACACACACACACACACACACAGTTTTGGCAGTGCACTTTGCATA